ATACTTAATAATTTCCAATAATTCCATCTACATATACATGTAATATATTGTTCCATTTAAATATGGAACTTATCATTCTTATCATTAAAGACTATGCATGAGTTCAATAATTGCAAGGATCCCAAAAGCATGACAAACCTGACCTATATTCCTGGCCATGTGTATCTGTTTTTTTTTATAATTATAGGTAACAAACAAAACCCTTCGACGATCGTAATGAAATGATTGAGATTTATCTATTCTTAATTAGAAGACTTTAATTCGAGTGCTATGTTGAGAGCATCGTCCTTAGAAATGAGCCTTGTACCTTACAACACATATATTAAAATTTAATCGGGCTCTAATACGAGTACGAAAATAATAATTTGAAGGACCCTTCTTCATATAATGAATCAGCCAAATCCCATGCGTTTTGTGGACCCCCATCCCCTTCTTTAAACCCCCACACATTTTCTTGTTTCTCAATTAAAATTCAATCAAAATTACTCCCCTAGTGTTATATGGACCATATTTTTTTACCCCTCAATAAATTACCATATTTAACCAATAGTACACCGCGAAAAAAGAAAAAATTTAACTCGCATTGAATATTTATAAATTTCGTCAGGATTAAAGTAAAGATGGAAGTCTTCTCAAATCTTCTTTCATTCCTCAACGATGAAATAAGACAAGCTCATGAACTTATTATCTCAAGTTGAAACAAGTTGATATGATTCATTTTCTACGTCTCTATGTTCCTCTTGCACGACATCATATATAAATGGGGGCGAAAAAAAGAAAGAAATTAAAGGATGAATAGTTTAATGTGTTTATCAATATCTGACTTAGAAATATAAATCATCCAATATTTCAAGTCACGTTAACATTAATAAATATATAGTAGACGTTTTCACAAAAATGACTAGTTAACTATGACAGGAGATAACGTCTTATCACAAAAATGACCAAATAAACAGATGATGATGGTTCAGTCGATAAGCTAGCAAGCCATTATATATATCATCATTGGATTCCAAGAGACATCAATTGTAGTTTTTTTTTTAAAAAAGCTAAACGTCAACAAGGCTTTTAATCATTTAAGTTGTGATAATTGGAAGCAAGTAATAATAGGAATATTTAACATTTCTAGAAAGTTTATTTAATCCATCATTTTTTTATTCTATTTTATTTTTGGAATAGCAAAATGTGGTCAGATAAAATATATGGTCGAGGAGAGGGGTCAATTTGGGGGCAAATTATGGTCATAATTCGGTATTATTTCCTCCAAAATTTTAATCACCTTTTTAAATGTTATTTCCTCGTCTAATTTATCTGTTGTTTTAGCTTATTTCACGGTAATTAAAAAATAATAATAAATATAAAAGGTAGTTTATTAGGTTATTTTTGTTTAATAGAGGTACTGGATTTATTATTTTCTCTTAAATACCATGTATTATTTTAATATTAAGACTATAAAAAAAAATAGTCAACTTTAATTTTAAAATTTTAAAATTAATAATTATTACTCTCATAATTTTTTTTAAAAAAGAATTAAAGCGATAATTAAAATGAGACAGCAAGTAACAAATTCCTCTTGTAGCTCTTTCTTGCCATTTAATTATAAGCTATTTCCCTTGAATTTCACGCTTTTATTTCATGGGTTGAATCCTTGATAAGAAAATAAAAATATTATTTCCCTCATAACAAATATTTATCACTTGAAAAAATTAAAATAAAAAAAGTACACATACAATTTTTAAAAAATAAATAACGCATAGTCTATATATTTATAAATTACATATCTTTTTCTTCTTCATGATTTAGTCTATCAATTTTAGATCATCGCAATAAAATGTTTCAAGTCACAATCTTAATTTACACAATCAATCACAATAAAATACAAATCAAAATCACGGAAATAATTAAATATTAATTATTAATTAACGGTGAATAACTTTACGTTTAAAATTTGTAAACAATGATGGTTTTGGCCTTTAATGATTTGATCATTTAGTCATCTTTCATTATGGTTATATTTTTAAACGTGATTAATATTTTACAACTCTTATTAAATAAGCAATAATCGATATTAACAACACTTATTAAATTAATTGTTTTTTGCTTTTAATTAAGTCATGCTATATCACATTTTCAAAAAAAAAAATATTACCCTCCTAACAAAATGTTTATCACTTAAAAAAATAATAAAAAAGTATACATACAATTTTTAAAAAATAAATAACGCATAGTCTATATATTTATAAATTACATATCTTTTTCTTCTTCATTATTTAGATCATCGCAATAAAATGTTTTAAGTCACCATCTTAATTTACACAATCAATCATAATAAAATACAAATTAAAATCACGAAAATTATTAAATATTAATTTAACGGTGAACAACTTTACGTTTAAAATTTGTAAACAGTGATGGTTTTGGCCTTTAATGATTTGATCATTTAATCATCTTTCATTATGGCTACCTATTTTTTGGCCCCTGCTATATTTTTAATAGTGATTAATATTTACAACTCTTATTAAATATGCAATAATCGATATTAACAAGGAAAAATTGTATATAATAGCAAACTATTAATTCAAATTAAATGCTATAACCATAGTTTGATTTAATTGTATCCCATAGCAAACTGTTGCTACTTCGCCTCTCTCCAGGTGAATCTCGCTCGCCACTCTCGTTCTCTCCCTCGCCTCTCTCACTTTTATACAAACGCAAATGTATAAAATGCGTTTGTGTTTGTATAAAGCAAGAGAAAATTGTGTATATATATATATATTTTCGTTCCCCTCTCCCAGATCTCGCTCGCCACTCTCCAGATCTCGCTCGCTCACTCGCCTCTCTCACTTTATACAAAAACGCAAATGTATAAAATGTGTTTGTATTTGTATAAAGCGAGAGAAAATTGTATATACAAATACAAATGCATATATTTTCGTCTTATACACTTATGATTATACAAATACGATCTTCCCCTGCCCAGTTTTCTTTTGTCTTTCTCTCTTTCTCTATTTATACAAACACAACCAAAGCAGATTATACAACTGCTTTCTTTTGTATATGTATAGCGAAATTATACAACTGCTTTCTTTTGTACATGTATAGCGAAATATACATATTTATGTTTGCTATGGAGTGCAATTATGCAAACTATAGCTATAACACACAAATATGATTTTTATGTTTGCTATATGTGAAAGTTACTCTATTAACAACGCTTATTAAATTAATTATTTTTTGCTTTTAATTAAGTAATGCTATATCACTTTTTCAAAAACAAAAAAGAATATTTTATGATTTTGGTAGCCGTATAAATTATAATTAAGCAGCAAATATACAATTCCATTAATGCATCTAACTATAATTAAACTCCTCATACATAGGGAGTGCGTCTCATAATTTATAAATTCTAACCATTTATGATAATATTTCTTATTAAAATTCCACATTTATTTTATAGTTGTGGTATCAATCTAATCATTTCTCGTTGCAAATTGAATTTAAGTTTAAAAAAAATTGTAATTATAGTTTAAAACGTTGTGGTAAAGAGGTAAGTATTACTCCTAATTAAGTCCTATCTTTGGAGGTATCAAATGTCTTAGGAATATAGTTATGAGAATAGAGAGTCGTACGTTTTTTATGGAGATATCAAAGGTATTTCACGCTTTTATTTCATGCGTTGAATCCTTGATAAGAAAATAAAAATGAAACGTGATAAATATTTTACGATAGAAGGAGGTTATTTTAGGAATAGAAATTACTATTAAAGTCAAACACTAGCCTGGACCTCATCAAAATCACATTTTTCATAATTGTATTCTTATTTTTGTACGCAATATGCATGGTCCATAGATTTTACATACTCCTATGCATACAAGAAAGTCTATATATAATTTGATAATGAAACATAAAACGTGTAAATGACTTATAATTAATTCCTATCACGCACAAGTAATTACAATAAATTTATTGTTAAGTTAACTACTAATACACTCTCTGTCCTTAATTACTTGTCAAAAGACGACAATATTTTACCTATTATACCCTCAATTAATTATTTTGAAAAAGGTAGAACTTCTTGAAAATTCTAAGTATTTAATTCATCTACTTCATAATTAATAGGGGTAAAAATGGTAAACTCACTATGTCAATTATTGTTTTCTTAATAGGTGTGTTAATTCAAAAGTGGACAAGTAATTAGTGACATATATAGAAAGTATTAATCATTCACTTAACCAAACCGCGCACAATCATAAATCACAGTTAATAGTAAATATGATAAAATTAGTCCATAAAAATGTAACTCACTTAAATATTATATATGTATTGAACAATTCACTAATTATAAATCTAACTATTATTATATATAATCTTTAGATACACATAAAATTTAAATTTAAATTTTGAACTATGAAAGTGTCATAAGTACAAACCGTTGTATATTTATGTCGTTTCACGTGCACTCTTAATTTAACTAGTATTTGTCGATCAATTTTGCATTTTAAAGAAAATTAAATAAACATTCTTCATCGCAATATATGTCACATATATATTTTTATAATTATAAATAATTTAATTTTAAATTTTTATTTAATATTTTATTAAATAATTTATTGTCATATAAACATTAAAGACTTATTCTAAATCAAAATTTTCAAAATCATTATTTTCTTTTAAAAATTATGCATGTATTTAATAAAATAATGCTCCATCTATTAAGACAAGTAAACGAAAAATTAATTAATTTAATTTGAAGAGCCCTTTGAGGTTTTCTTCCTTTTCTTTCTACTTTGTAGCAAGTACATAATACACCATACATAATAATTAATTAGATGTTTCGTGTTTGAGTCCTTAAAAATGGATTTTTTAAAAATTAAAAGTGTCTCCCTTAGAAATAAGTTTTATAATGCATGAATCTGAATTTAAAACATATTTCAATACGGATATCAATATCAGAGGTAAAATATAGAAAAAGTACACCTAGTAGAAATAGTATTAATGAGGGCTTGGACAATGCCTTCTTTTAAATTGACCCTTAGGTTCTCTCTTCTTCAACACAACTATTTCCCATTTCCAAAAGCTTCTATTCTTTTTTTTTTTCCTCCAAAAGTTTTCAATATGGAGTTAGCTTTGAGCTTAGGAGGGGATAATACCCCAAAACCAATATTGTTTCTTGAAAAATCATCATCATCTTCTTCTTCTTTACATGAGAATAAGGTGAACAAAGATGTAGGGTTTTGCATGGTTTTTGGGAAGTCATGTAATGAAGGTGAAGATGAAGTTGGAAGAAAAAAAAGATCAAGAAATCATCAAGATATTTGGTCATCATCAATAGATCCATCACTTCAACTTGATCTCATCCCTTTTTCTCATGGAGTTTCTAAGAACACTTCTTCACAACTTTCCTTCCCTTGGCTCTCTCAAAATTGTGAGTATATTTTCTTCATATGTTTCAACTGTTGAAGACATAATTAAGTAAATAGATGTCGTGCTCTCTCTAGCGATTTAAGTTTTCTATATAATGATTTTTCTTTGTCCCTTTCTTATGGGGGTTATTTGTTTTTGTATCTAAAGGTTATTCAAAACATTAATCTTACAAACTTTCTTTGTTTTGTTGAGATAAATCTTATTGCTCATATACTAATAGTGTAATGAACTTTTAACATTATTAGTGTAATTTAACTTCTATAATACATAGGTTACTTACTATGATTGTTGGAAATTAATTTTTTTAATGACTTATATAAATATTTTTTATATCGTCAATACGTTGAACTTAATACTCTTGTTCTATATAGAGTTTAGAAGAAGAAAAATTGTACTAGTGAGATAGATCCCTTTTTGGATAATTTCAAACATAATCTATTTTACATTTTATTTTTTTTATTTGTTGAATCAAGATCTCAAGTTGACATTTCGAATGATTTGCCATGCTTTTTGGACTTGGTACTTTTTTTCCTTCAGAAAATCTGTCATAAAAAGAAAGATTGAGAGGTCGTGTAGAATACAATAATAACAACATACTCAGTAAGATTTCACAAGTAAAATCGGAAGAGAGTGAGGTGTATATAGACTTTATTCTTATTTTGTGTGATATAGAAAAGTTATTTCTGAAAGAGTCGTATAGAACATTTTGTCAAAAAGTAGATTATTTGACATAATAAACAATCATTTGAATTATGTATATTATTATTTATAGAGCATGCTTTGATAAGGATGTAAATATAATTTGATTAATTCTTTGAAATAGATATCTTTATTTTCTAATAATATCACCTATTCAACAGTAGCTACTGAACCGGCCGGTTTAACAAGTGGACCGGCGTTGGACATGACTAACCGGCGGCAGTTAGTGGTGGCGGAGGAGGCGGAGGAAGGGGCGGCGCTATCGTCTCCGAATAGTGAAATATCAAGTTTTCAGATGAACTTTCCGATTTATAGAAACGGAAAGTTAATAAATATGAAGAAAGATCAATGTGAACGCGATCGCGATAATAATCGATGGGGTAATATTAATAATTATTCTTGTTCAAGAATAAGTGATGAAGAATTAGATGCATCAGCAAGAAAAAAACTTAGACTTACAAAAGAACAATCTGCTTTTCTTGAAGAAAGTTTCAAAGAACACAACACTCTCAATCCTGTAAGTCAAACTTCATAATCATTATTTTTCATGATTATTTTGATTTCATGTCTTGACTTTTATAATATTGATGTTACCTTAGAGGTGAACTAATTTATAGGTTCACGTAAATTCAGTGATTTTTGTAGTATAGACATATAGTCTGATTCAGTAAGTTTTTGTTATGCACGGGGTTTGAGGAAGGACCGGATCATAAATACATGTATTCATGCAATAAATAGTTTTCACCGTTTAAATCTATGACCTCTTGATCACATGATAACAAATTTATCTGTTATGTCAAGGCTTCCCTTCTAGAGACCTTGTGTATTAAGAAAATACATTAAATATCTATCAATATTTAGTTGTAAAATCAATTACTATAATATATTAACTTGAAGTCACTATAGATCTTATATATGATAAATGGTTACCTCTTATATATATACTCTGACTCAGGAGCAGAGCTAAGTAGGGCCAAGGGGGTTTATCTGACCTCCTTTGATGAAAAATTATATTGATTATACATAATTAAGATTATATTTTATGTCTTATATAGGAGATGTTGAATCCTCTTTTGACTTTTTCATGTGCTTATATTACTTCTTCGTATTTTGAACACCTTCAATGAAAATCATATCTTCGCCACTTGCTCTAAACCGAAAATGTGAAAATCATGATGTTGATAATGTACACTAGTTTTATAAAGTTAAAACTAATGTCATTTCTACATTAAGACACTCGATTAGCAGATTTTATGATATATATTAAAGAAAAAGTTCAAATTATTATGTTATTTCTTAAATTATTTTTTGTGGTACATTAATGTTGTTGATGATGATGTTCTGAATTATGAAAAATTATAATTGCAGAAACAGAAGCTTGCTCTAGCAAAACAATTAAATCTTCGTCCAAGACAAGTGGAAGTTTGGTTCCAAAATAGAAGAGCAAGGTAATTAATTAAGCATTATAATTTATATAGTATATATATCATAATACTCATAATATTAACTTCAAAATTTACAATTTAATCTTAATAAATCATCTATAATCATGCAAATGTCTAAGTCACGACTTGCCCAGAATGCTCATACAAACTAAGACCTTATTTACACAGTAAAAAAAGTTCGAAGGGAAAGGGACTAGACAATCACTTGACTACTTCTTTGGCATGCCCTAAGTACGACTAGGGTCCTCATGGTCTAAAATAATCAAATTATCAAGCATGAAACTCCTTGATAGTTACCATGAACCAGACAATCGCGAGGATTGTTGTAGATCATAAATTTTAAAAATCTTCATTTTTTTTTTTGTTAAACTTCAAGGATAGTCGAAACAAGAGAACAACATAATTGAGGCATAGAGAATTATTATTACTCAAATAACTAAAAATGATGAGTGACCTATTATACTGATAATGTAAAAATTCTTTTTTCGTACGATATTTTGTATGTATTAAATTCAAATTTATAAGATTATTATTTTTTTGAAATTTTTCAGGACAAAATTGAAGCAGACAGAGGTAGATTGTGAATATTTAAAGAAATGTTGTGAGACATTGACAGAAGAGAATAAAAGGCTGCACAAAGAGCTTCAAGAATTAAGAGCTTTAAAATCTTCACAACCTTTTTACATGCAACTTCCTGCCACCACTCTCACTATGTGTCCTTCGTGTGAGCGCGTCGTTACCACCTCTGCTATCACAACCATCACTACTACGACACCTGCCACGACTACTACCACCACCGTGGCCGCCTCGAACACGGTGGCACTTCATAATCATAAGTTGATAAGTGTGATGACAAAGTGAGTGTACAAATTATTAGGATTTTGACTTAGGTGTTTAATTTTTGCTTATTGTTTTTTTTTTTATGAACTATAGTTTTTAAACTATACATTGTGATGGTGAGTTTAGAACTAGCTAGCTAGGCAAGAAGTTTGGGAGGAATTTAATTTAGAGGTTTTAATTAAGAGGAAAAAAAAATTATTGCTTGGAATTTTGATGTTTTAGTAATTAGAAGAAAGAAATAAGTTATTTTTCCTTAATTTTATATGATGAATAATCTAAATTAAGTAATATTGCTAATGGTTTGGATGTGTGAGACATATTCTTTACTTTTAATTTACTAAATGTGATTTGTGCGATTACTTAAAAAAAGACACATAATACAACAAAAAAATTATTCTATCTATATTGTGAATGAGATATGATGATAAGAATATTTACTTTACATCTTGTTTTGAACCTCAATATGTTTGACTCGTGTGATGTGGAGAGTTTATATGTTATTGTAGATAAATTTAACAAAATAGTACTGTAAAAAATTATATATTATCAATTTGTAGAACTTAAATTTTAACGAGAATTTAAGTTATATACATCAACTATCTAGGAGGGGACTGAAGACATGAGGCATAACAGCTCCTATAAAATTTTAAACTTACATCTTTAAAAATTAAAGAATTATATATAGTACCAAGTCAAAATTGTGAAGTCTCTTCATTGGTCTTATTTCTATTGTGCGCCTCGTGAGAGTGTTTCGATTAGTGAAGAAAATCTCTCATATGCTTTCCGAACTCAACCCGAGAATAGATCTGGACCAAAGAGGAGTTTGACGTATTTCAATCAGGGGCAGAGTCGGGTAGGACCGATTATTTTTTATGTATATATAGTAGATATTAACCCATCTTCGACTTTTTCATGTGTTTATTATTTTATATTTTTAACCTTCTTAGTGAAAATTCTGACTCCAGCAGTATTTCCAGGTAGAGTGGGCATACTTTTACTGTGCTTGGATTGACATGGTTGTCCCCCTTTCCTGGTTGAGTCTCGGCCTTTGACTCCAATCCTTTTTAGAAAATTGTGGCCTAACTAACGAAAGAAAGATGGAACCAGATACATTCTTAAAAGAAAGTGATTTACCTTTTATTTCAATTTAATACAATACAAGGAAAGGAAAAAGGTTTCTTAGGGGTACCACAAATAAAGAAAAAAATAGCTAAAAAGAGTCTGCTTCCTTTTATGATCTCTTTCTTAGAAAAGAAATTGCGTAAATTCTCTTCTCTTATGCAATTTCTGACTAGTTGTAATTTTCTAAGGACTGGAATAAGAGGTTTCAGCTTTTCGGGGTAATTAACATAACTAATAATTCTATATTGAAAAAGTCTCAAAATTGCAAACATTTTGATCATATTTTTAACCTCCTTAGTGAAAATTTTGACACCAGCAGTAATCCCAACACTTAGAAAATGTTAAAGAAATAACATGAGTACTTTAAAACAATATAGTTCAAAAAGTAACTAATTAGATTGATAAAAACTTGTGGGAATATACGTTAAAGATTTTTTTAATAAAGTTCTTGTTGGAAACTATAGTCATGAAAGGGAAATAAATAAATGTTATTAGTATGGAGAATTAATAAATGACTCTATGAGGTACATGGAGAGTTTATTTCCCTCTAAGCCATTAATGATAAATTAAGAGCACAGTACGTATAACAACAAACTTACAGTAGCATTTACTATTACTTCACAAGATATTGCTTTCTAGCATAAATGTGACATCAACGTTGTGCTATTTTTTGAAATCATGTAATTGTAGACACTTATTAATTACCCCCACCAAAGACAAAAAGAAGAAAATGATACATAGTAGAAGCATGTTGTGTCTGCCTGTCTAGCACATATATATTTAGAAGTATTTAAGTTCCATATATATATTGACGGTGTAAAAAAAAATATGTTTTGAGTTTAAGTGTGTGATATTCATATTGGTATTAAATTAAGATTTGAATTCGCGTCGTGTAAGGCTTTATTCAGAGAAAACTGTTTCCTACCAAAAAATAATAATTCATATTTAGGACAATTAAACTTAAAATATCTGATTAAAAGAGGAATAACCTCATCCAATGCGCCACATTCTGGTGGTAAAAAAAAATGTTACTAGTGTAGTCTAATTATGTTCAATTCCAACACTCTAAAAGTCTAATTATCTAATATTCTAAGTTTAATTATCTAATTGTGAATATGTGATGTGATGTATGCTACTTTTTTTTAATTTTTTTTTTACTATGACATTTGTCTATTTTTCAGTGGCTTGCTCATTTGATTATTTTTGAAAGAATGACCATTCTATTTAAAGTTATATTGTATATTGATTTTGTGGATGTTAGACATGTGAAGTGGATGAATCTATGTAGTTATACGATTAGACATGCAAAAGTTTCGAAATAATGTTGAAACATAAAAGAAGATTGAAATACATTTATCTTATGATAGTTGAGAGAAATTTGTTGATTCCTAGTACGATTATTTGAAATAGTTGTCTCATGTTTATATTGTTTTACTATTATCAATTTATTATTAGCTAGTCATAAACCGAACCAACGCGATAAGAATCATTGAGACCTATCGGTGAGATCCCACATATATAGCTATATATATCATAATTCATAAGGCTCCAGTGGGCTAGTTTTTTTAGGCCCATTATGTTTGTACAAAAATGTTAATTTTCTGAACCAAAATGTATAGATCCACCATTGAACTAATTATTGAGGCCCGTTTATCATCAATAATTGGGCTTATTTATGCAAATGTCACTTTTTAGGTCCTTATTTAGATTTTGTTCCTATTTTAACCTAAATAAAGTTTGTTTCTGAAATGGAGACGTTATGTATCAGGACATTGAGTGGTGTATTCGAAATCGGAACGCGATGTATTCAGATTCCACTAAATTTAAGGATTTTTTGTAATTTGGAAAAGGGTAGGGATAAAATGTAATTAACTCTTAACACTATGAGATTTGTGTAAAATTCCCTCAAGAAAAATATATTACTTTCCCCCCTACACTACATAAAATAATACTCCTGTTGTCTCAATTTATGTGACACATTTCGAATTTTGAGATTTAAACAAGTCTATCTTTGACCGTAAATTTTTCATATATTGTTTAAATATTTTGGATTGTCAATTATTGTGACTTATAGTACTTTTTACGTAGTATACAAGTATATAATTTCATTTCAAAAAAATTGAAGATTTCATGCACATTTCCTGGTTAAACTTAAATTGTCTGACTCTCAAAAAATGAAATATGTCACGTAAATTGGAATAAAAGGAGTAATAATAATAGTACAAAACTTGAATTAGAAGCTCCAAAGCGCCTTTGAATCACAATTGTCAGTATATAGTACCACCCGTGACTAAAAGACGTTACAATAATAATAGTCCTATAACATGCCCTTTTTTTTTTCTTTTTTATGATCCCGCAAATTTTAAATGTCTACTTAAGAAAACAGATATAAATTAAGGTTGAACTCTATGTATTTGGGATGGAGCTAGATAGGGTTAAGGGATTCATTTGAAGCCCTTTCGATAAAAAATTACAATATATTATATTTTATGTATATATTAGATGATAAAAATAACGTGACTTAATATTTACTTCTTTATATTTTAAATTATTTAGCAAAAAATTTTAACTCCGCCATCGGATATAATTCAACAATACGCTGAACATCGACATTTTACAACATAGAGAAACATTAGTTAAACATCCCCATGTGAAGTAGAACAAAAAGGATTAAAGTATAAAAGTAGTCTAATATTTTTTCTGTCCGCTTTTATTTATCCACTTAAAATTTTACACGTCCATGAAAACACAAGGATTGATATGAAAAATATCACAATATCCATATCAATTAATGTGCTAAAAAAATACTAAAGCTAAAACATGAAGAAAAAAATAATTTTTGATATGTTAACTTAAAACTTAAAAGGAGTAAGAATTAAATTTTTAAATAATGAACAAGTAAAAATAAACTATTAGAGATGTAAATAATTAGTTTCAAATGTCTTTAAACGCGACACGCAAGCTCTCATCAAAAGCATCAAAAGATAATTAGTGTCATAGTCAACATCAATTAGTTAATTTAAACCACTTTAATGAAAAAGCTTGGACACATATATATTTGACAAGATACAATAATATTTAAATAAACTCACGATTTTCGACAAACATTATTATGCGTAACATGATCTATAAGAATAATAAAGTATCATACCTTAAAATATTCAAAAAAACCAATAAAATAAATTATTGAAGAATTTACACTTTTCAAGCCCTTGAGACTTGAAAAATACTTTATAGCATGAGAGAATTATAATTAAACAACAAAATTCCTTTTTTCAAGGGAAATTCAATCTCTCACATACTATAATTTACTACAACAACAATAATATGCCAGTGTAATTCCACAAGTAAAATCGAGTCTCGAATCTGGAGAGGTTGATGTGTACGGAGCCTTAGGCCACAATAATTTACTCTTGGATTTTCTTGAGGAGTTTTCTTTGTTCTATTTCCTCTATATAGAAATGTAACTTCGAGAACAACGAAAAGCCAACACATATTTTGTATAGGCTTGACTCATTATTTCAATGTACATGGACACCTTGTATATTTTGTACATCCTATGTTGCGCGTACACTCCAAAAATGTCACCGTACCCGTGTCAGATCCTTAAAAAAAGCACCACTTTTGAGGATTAGACAAGCACCTGAACGACATTTTTGAAGAGTCCATGCAACATGGTGTTTGTTTTATACCTATGACTTTTTCTCTTGTTGTTTTTGGTGTAATCTTACCAGAAGTTCAGCATATAAGAGCTCATTCCAAGCATCGGGTACACCGGGAAGGCACCAATGGCTACAATCTTGATACCTCCATTGTGATCTCCTCTCTTTGAGTGTCAAATTCGGTTTCCTATATATCGATGGATGACCGTCTTTTCTATAGTCCGTCATTCTTGTGATGTTGAGATACGAGACTTGAGTTTTCATCCCTTTGAAGACGTCTTCTAGTACCTTCATCTTGGATGGATACGGGGTCAAATATGTGTCGTTCTTTATTGGTTCTGTTTCACTGTCACACGCCCCGCCAGAATTCCATTGCCCGCCACTGTGGAAGTACATAAAATTTAATCTACATGGTGATGAAAACAATGCTACCATAGTAGTTTACGATTTAATCAATTGGTCGCGAAGTAATAACAATAATAAACTAGTCTTTGTCTTAAACTACAAGGTAAAGAGCTAGAGCTATTCGACAAGTTAATGTGATTTGGTTTTGAATGTCGCGTTATTACCTGAAATGAGAAGCAGAATAACCTCTGAAGAGAACGAACGTCTTCTTGGGATTGATATGAGCATCGATCCATCTACCCCATGTTGTTAATGCTCTCCGAAAGGCCTCAAGAACGTTTAGTTCGTTGTGGACATGATTTCCTTCTTGATAATAGTCCTTCCTGAAAAAATTCAGCATTGTTCAATGTTAGAAGTTAATTAAGCATAAAAATACACGATTATGTATGTCGAAAAACACATTGACAAATTTTACCCTAACGAAGTCTTTTCGTGAGTCCACCAGTGACCGGTGTTGAAGACTAAGATATCCGCGTTTTTATACTTATCAGCAGACTCTCCGATCAAATCAAGTCGAAGCGTTTCTTTCTTACCTCCTTTTTTATCTGCAACTTCCCATTGTTGAACCAAGAATGGAGACACAAAGAACTCCACTCTGCATTTATACTCCTGAAAATTTTACACAAACGATTAAACACATCGACGATGAATTCTAATTATAGAAATGAGTCCGGCTACATCAGATACTCACTTTGAATATAAACGAATAGAAAGCTTCTGTCCTGAAATGGTGTCTTCCAGATTCTTCATAAACCTTTTTCTGATTTTTTACAGAGTTTTTAAGTATACAAATAAGGGATTCCCACATATTCCTATTCAAAGAATCGCCAACGAAAACTAGACGCTTTCCTCTTAACAATTCCAGCATATGAGTAGCATTCAATCTGATAATAAGTTCCAAAATTCAACCATTAGAACAATTCAAAGATTATTACTTCTCTGTATCAATCTGAATATACATAACATATACATTACATAATTGATCAAAAGTAAGTGACACTCAAAATTCGCCTCAGCCAGCAAGTAAGCACTCGAACCTTAAGAGTGCACATCTACACATCTCAACCTGCAACTAAACACTCCAGCTCGTTCCCATTGTGTCTCGTGGACACCTAACACTGACGTGACACGTAAATTTTTCATTTTGTAATTTAGAGTGTTCAACTGACATAGTGGAGACGAGTTAAGCTGTTTAGAAGTGCATATTCAAAGTCGGAGTCAGACAATTAAAGCTACACTACCTAGAAATGGTAAAAACAAGAAACATTAAAGAGCCCATACCTAGGAAGACTACATGCATTGGGTTTCCATTTCATCTTCAAGTAACCACTGTCAGGCCTATCATTGAGAAAACAATTGAATTGCTCATCAATAAGTGAACAAGAACCAGGTTTATACAAAGGGTAAGATTCATCTTTCACCCAATTCCCATCAAAGAAATCACAATTCAACAAAGACTTAACCAAATCAACATCTCTTTTCTTTTCCACATTTGCACTTTTTCCCTTAGAAGACAACTTTGGTGCTGATTTTTTCTCAATTGTGCTCTGATTTGCCTTAAAGATTCCAACTTTATCATCAAAATCTCTACTTTCAGTCTGATTCACAGCAGCAGCAGACTTATAACTCTCAATTGAGCTCTGATTTGCCTTAAAGATTCCAACTTTATCATCAAAATCTCTACTTTCAGTCTGATTCACAGCAGCAGCAGACTTATAACTCTCAATTGAGCTCTGATTTGCCTTAAAGATTCCAACTTTATCATCAAAATCTCTACTTTCAGTCTGATTCACAGCAGCAGCAGACTTATAACTCTCAATTGAGCTCTGATTTGCCTTAAAGATTCCAACTTTATCATCAAAATCTCTACTTTCAGTCTGATTCACAGCAGCAGCAGACTTATAACTCTCAATTGAGCTCTGATTTGCCATCAAGATTCCAACTTTATCATCAAAAGTCTGATTTCCCATCAAGATTCCAACTTTATCATCAAAAGTCTGATTTCCCATCAAGATTCCAACTTTATCATCAAAAGTCTGATTTCCCATCAAGATTCCAACTTTATCATCAAAAACTTCACTTAAAGTCTCATTCTTCACAACTGATGATTCTTTATCACTCAACACAGAAGAAGAATTAAAGGGGTTTTCCAAGACTCCACCTTTATCATCATTCTGAGTATAATTTTCACTCTTTTCAACAATTAGTCCCTTTTTATCCAAATGGGGTTGCTCAAAATTGTTTTTTGAACTTCTTGGAAAAAGATTAGAGAAAACAGAAGAAAACTGAGATCTATAAGAAGTACCAACATCTTCTTTACTTAAAGAAAAAATGTTAGTAAACCACGGTGAAGAAGAGTTTGGTGAAGGACTAAAAGCCAAGAAAGTAGTAACAACAATGAAAATAAACACAAACCCATATGCACAAGCCACAGTTCTTTTAGTTTTGGGAAGAGACAACTGAGTTTTCATATCTGTAAACAGAGTTCCACCATTAATAGCTGCATATTTTGCTGTTTCTGCCATTGTTGTTCTGCTCTAAAACTCTATCAAGTAACAAAACAAACTTCTTTTTTTATGTAAAATCAAAAAAGGAAAAAAGTGAGAGAGAAAATTTTGAGATTTTGGACTCTTTTTAATGTGTGTTATAATGTGAAACAAATTTAGAAGAGTTATAAAACAAGTGAGTAACGGAAAAACCATAATTAAATTTAAAGAGTTTGAAATCATTATTATTTATTTATTATCTTAACTTAATTAGTACTTATCTCATTTAACAAAATTTTGGGTTTGAGACCTCGAGTTATCAGAATTAAAAGGGTTAAAGAGTCTTCTTCTTTCTTTTTTTTTTTTTTTTTTCAAATTTGAGTTATTTTTGGAGAGATTTTATTATTAGAATAAAATAGGTTGAAGATCTTTTTTAAAATTTGATTTATTTGAAAAAGAGGTTGATTGTTTTTCTTTCCTTTAATGAAATTTGATTAGCCTAATTAGTCTAATTTTGAAACATATGTCATATATAAAAAGCAAAATAATAATAATATTAGTAATACATTATCATATTTAAAACGTTAAACAAGAAGTTTATTATTAAAAATTATATTTTTTTTTGTCATCGTTTATATGATATGATTCGTATTTCAAGTATATATCATATAAATTGTGGTGACGAGGATAGTAATTTTATTCATATGAGAGTAAAGAAGGAAAAGCTTTTACCTAAAATGTATCCATACAAAAAAAGAGAAAAAGAATTAATGAAAATGAATTTTTGGATTAATTGTGAAATATTAATCAAATTGAGGAATGTTTTTTTAATTTTAATTTCACATAAACTTCGTGTTGGGAAAAGTGAAAGTTATAAACTATGTGAATGTTGTGTTTATAATTTGAGTAAAATGCCCCTTGTTTTGAGATTAATATCAAGAATGCCACTGCCGGTGCCGCCGGCTGCCATCATAGATAATACCGGAGAGAGAACTCCAAATCACTAAAAATTAAAAACTAATACACGAAGATTAGCATTAATTAATTATAAAATAAATAAATCACAGAATTACACGTGTATATGTTGGGTGCGGCTCTGGCTTTACTTAATTTGGCATTATACAATACAGTACCTTATATATATATAATACTAATTTTTTATCGAGGGAACTCAGATAAATCTTTCGCGATCCATGAATCAACCCCTTAGACTAGGCAATGAACTTGTGAAAGAAGAAATATTATTTTAGCTATGATTAATATAATAACTATGTTATTATAGTCAATTTTAAAGTTTTTTTTTTCCAATATTAGCTTCATAATTTGATAATGTAGATTTGTGTTAGAAAATTCAATGGATCCGTTCCTTATTATAGTGATATGTTTTCAAATTTCAAACTCAAATTATTAATAATTTAAGAAATATACTTATCATTCCACCACAACTTCTAATTAAATAAACAGTTAATGAAATTTTCACCCTCTTAGGAGCTTGCCTACATAAAGCTTGAAACTCCTAATATAATCAAAATTATAAAATTACAAACATTTTGAAAAATAGAGTGAATTTTAAGGTGCTATATGTCCGTACAAGTTGAAAAAGATTGACCTTTCATTTTTCAACTACACTTCAAACAATATATTGTTTCACAAAAGGAACAAATTGAACACTTTTTTAAAAAAAAAAATTTTCGGTATCCAAATCTCACATTAGAGTCCGAATTAAATTCAAATCACACACTGCAAAGCTCATTCGGGGGTGATGTTCCTAATAAGATTTTCTTCATACTCCGAGCTTGAACCCGAAACCTCTGGTTAAGGATGAAGCAGTCTCATTACTACACCACAACCCCATGTTGGTTAAACACTTCTTATTTAACGTACTAAATCTCCGTCAAAGAATATTTTATTCTCCTTTTTTCATGCTTTGATTATTACACTAATTTATTGCATTATTTTATTGTTATTATTGCTTTCATTTTCATTTTTGTTGTTGAAGAGTCCACACCAGATGAAAAAATATATGGACATAGACAATTCTCTCATCAAAATTTATTTTTTTATAATATTTCAAACTGCTTTAAGATCTTTTACTTGAATCCAGAAGTTATCAAAAATAACATCTCTAACTCTACAAAATAAGAATAAAATATGTATTAACTATCCTCTTCAGACCTCACTTATCGATAAATCTAATCATCAAAAAACATTTCAATATGTATAAATATAAAAAATAAGTTTGATTGTATTGTCATAAATATTCTCCTTGTATGATCTGTCCCAGGGTCACAAACTTTAAATGCCACATAATTTATTTATTTTAGTGGACTGAATGTTTGGTGCAAATTGTATAGGTTTTATTTTGTCATATTTGTCGGTGCCAAAACTATAGTACTATTAACATATATGAAAAATAATACCCCCTTCGACTTTTGCTAAATCACAGAAATTGTTCGAAGAAATAACAAGATTTTTCTTTTGTTTCTTTACGCTAATTGAAATATAAAGAAATAATTAATATATTCAAGATAAATATATTTTATAAAATAGCATTTCAGTTCATCTTATTTCATCATATTCGAAATGTAATATGGTTTTGAAGAATTAAACATACATTTATTTTATTGTATTCACTCTATCAATAGATGCATTAAATTTGATGTATCATAAGGACTTATCTTTTCTATAGTAATTTCAATATGATATGTAATGAGATTTATTTATTTTAGTTAAATCTAAAGTAATTTTCTTAATTATATATGATATATTGAAAAAAGTTATTGAATTTACGTTTGCTTGGTAGATCAACTCTGACTCTTGAACCTACCATTCATGTCAAATCAATACAACAAGACTGTGTCTATTGCTTATTAATTTTAATTATCAGTTAATCATAATTAAGTGATATGGTACAAACATTATGTCAAATCAAATTTCTTATAAATGTATCATTATGGCTAATTAAACCCCTTCCTTATAGATCTATTATTATGTCAAATTAAATCCCTTTCTTACCTTGTAAAAACAAAGTGCCTTAGCTATGCACATCATTTATTATATAGGATCATGATTGTGACATTATTAGTAGCCTAATAAAACAATTTTTGTTAATAAAAACTTACACGTAATTAAAATTCTGAAATAGCACTCAATATCAATTAAAACTACATGATCAGATTAGGAAAAAAAATTGATTTTAAAAATACCCCACCATTATTTAATTGATAAAAATGACAAAAGAAGGATCTAAGGAGTCTTTCTTTAATCCACCTAATTTTCCTCCATAGACTAATTAACAAAATTTAAGTGAATTCTAGAAAACAATAAAAGAAAATGACTCAAAAGAAATTCAGATCTATCATATTTTATCCAAAAATAATAATAATAACAATATATTGTGTATTCTTTCAACTGGAATCCGATGAAGATAAGATATGCACAAATGTTATATCTATCTTTATAGAAGTAGAGAAATTGTTATCCTCCTCTTATATAAGAGTCGTTTTTGTTAGAAAAGACTTTACCTTAACATGAGACATTTCAATGCATATCTAAATTTAATTGATCGAGATATCAATACAAATATTAAACATCAGATGAAAAATTAGAAGATAATTGTAAATAAAGAAACATACGCATGCATGTCGTTTTAGAGGTGTCAACCTAGGCATGGACTAAACCACTTATACCATGTGTGTAATGGGAAGAACACTCACAATAATATTATATTGAGGTAATGGATTAGATAACTATGGGAATGACACCTGCTTTTCAACTTTTATTTATTTCATTTATGAGTCGGTATGTGTGATTAAATTTTGATTCGCAATGAAAAATCTCACATTGGAATATAAAGTGTATTCTAGCAAAGATGATTCTATATTCAAGAAGTTGCTTCGAGAGACAAGCATGAAGCACCACATCTAGATAAGTAACATTTAATTAAATTGATTCACCGAATTTTTCATGAACGAAAATGAAAGAAATGTTTGTTATTCGAATTCGAAATCTTTGATTAAAGCATATTGATTTTAATAGAGTGCATGTCTTTCGATTTAGTAGAGTGAGAAATGTTTATTAAAAAATATATCAAGCCTATTCTTCTAATAAATATTTCAATGTCTTTTCATATTTCTTAAATTTCAGTTTAGTTAAATTATGTCACACAAAAAAATTGATAGTGTATAAGTATATATGCAAGCGATGATTAGTCAACAAATGTCGCTTTGGCCGAGTGGTTAAGGCGTGTGCCTGCTAAGTACATGGGGTTTCCCCGCGAGAGTTCGAATCTCTCAGGCGACGATATCTTTTTTGCATTTTTCGACTCAATTAAGTCGATGCTTTCTAGATTAATTTTATGAGATATTTATACTTTGTAGAAGAAAAAAGAATTAAGTCGATGCTTTCTCGATTAATTTTATGAAATATTTATACTTTGTAGAAGAAAAAAGAAGGGGATTCTAATCGTCTATTTTTCTCCTCTCTTTTTTGCCTTTTTCGACTCAATTGAGTCGATGCTATCTCGATTAATTTTATGAGATATTTATACTTCCTAGAAGAAAAGAGGAATGCCCAGAATGCTTGGTACCCTTTTTCTGGCTACTGGTTTATTCTTGTCCCACTTCTGCTTTCCTAGCCCTCGTAAGGCCTCTCTCATCCCTTGCTTATGCTGAATCGAGATTTAATTGGTTTTCATTGACCCGCGGGTGCAAATCAATAGCTGTGAAATTAGCTCTGATTTGATGACGGGAGATTCGAATCGCCTATTTATATCCTTCTTTTTCCTTTTAACTAGTAATTTGTAGGTACAATTTTTATATTACAAATTTACAAGTCAAACAGAAAGTCCCTTTCTAAAGCCAACAGACAATTCTTGTTTACTACAATTTGTATTTTGTAACATTTGTAAAACCCCAAGTTGACAAATTTTTTCCACTCAGTTTATGACCCTATGCTATGGTTCTTGTCAAAGTTGCACACTAATCTGCCATTTCAATGCTAATATTAATCCAATGAAGAAAACCCATCGGCTAAAAAACGATTCAAATCACAATATTACTGTGCAGAAATTTGCCACCAAAACCAAAGCTTCATCATCCAAAAGATTAAAAAACAAGCACAAATCAAAAGAATATTCAAAACCCATCTCAGAATCTGAAGAAAACCTCCCAATACCTCAAATTAACACTACCCTTATAGCTTTCTTGGATAAAAATCCAATCTTGAGTCGAAATTTTTACCAAATTGATGCTCTTGATCTTGCCCCACGTTTGCTTGGCAAGTTTCTTAGGAGGGATGATGTTGTTCTTCAGATAACTGAGGTTTTTAATGTTGTTGGTGTTGTTGATTTAATGTGTGTTTGTGCTGCTTCATTGTCCTGAGGTTTTAATGTTGTTGGTGTTGTTGATTTAATGTGTTTGTGCTGCTTCATTGTTCTGAGGTTTTGATGTTATTGGTGTTCTTGATTCAATGTGTTTGTGCTGCTTCATTGTTTTGAATAATGGGGTTGTTGTTCTTGTTTGATAGGTGGAAGCTTATAGGCCAAATGATTCAGCTTGTCATGGTCGATTTGGCAAAACAGCTAGGACTGCACCTGTTGTAAGATTCTAAAAGCTGATATTTTTCTGTCATTTGCTTTACATTAGTGGTGAATGCTGGGAAGAGGTGTTTGTAAAGTTTTTAGTTGTAGAGATAAGTAATGAAAATGTGCTAACTCTGTAAAAGATTAAGCTTTTAGATGAGCAGTTCACTCAAGTTCGAGTTTTTTCCTTCTTTCTTCTATATTCTAATCTGAAAGTTATGCAAGATAATAGATGGGCTATGTTCTATTGCACGTGTACTCGTCCAGAATTATTAAAGTTGGAGATATGATGTGCAATGTCATAATGATATTGCTGTCACCTTACCCAAAGAAATGTTATTGCTGTCCTATGCTAGATATTGGTTTACCTAAACTATATGAAGGCTAACTCGTTGTTTAATTCAAACTTTTACTAGCTGTTGGCACAAGTCTGTAGAGTTTCCAGAGAAGGCAGAGTATAGTTGCTTATAAGAAGTAATTAGATTGTTTTTTAGGGTGTGACTTAATGATATCATTGATTGTCTGAAGAAAACATCTAAAACCTTACGTAATTTTCTAGCTAGACATCTGAAGTATAAAATTGATCCTGAGTTGGACATAATCTTTGGTGAGCTTAGTTAATGGCTTTCTGGTGTATTACCTTTTGGAGCCATATGAAACATTTCAAGGTGCTCTTTGTAAGCTATTGTTCATTTCGTAGTAGCATTGTGCTACGACATCGATCAGCATGGGTGTATGTTATAGAGCATATAGGGTCGTGCCTTCTAGATTTTCTAATGATTTGTAATTGATAGTTTGGTCCTGGTGGTCATGCCTATGTCTACCTCTGCTACGGTCTCCACATGATGCTCAATGTTGTAGCAGACAAGGAAGAAGCTGGAGCAGCTGTATTGATTCGTTCCTGCGCTCCCATCTATGGTAAATTGAATTACATACTCCTACTTTCATGTTCTCTAATTTGCTTTGCTTTGCAGTTTAATATGTTGTATTTGATTTCTTTAGTCCCAGTGCAAGGCAATATGTGCACTTCCCGTAGTATCCCACTTTCTCTTAGTGATCTCTTCACTCTTTGAAGCAACATTTCCATTTTGACCGATTTACATTTGTTGCATTAGTGCACCTCAGAAAACAATTCGTTGAAGTATAGGATAGTTAAAATGCATCCATAGAAATGTTCCCGGAGCAGCTATAGTTCTTGTCGGGTTCTTCTAATAATTAACTAAACCTTGTCTTTTTTAGTTGATATCATCAACCAATATCAAGATAGTCAGAGGTATAGCAAGGGAAGAATTACAAACATAACTATTTTAATATCCTGAGTCCACCTTGATACTTCTAAAATGATCACTTGTAAATAATCTAGAATTATGATTCATGCGTTGGAGTTCTCATGCTTGCATGATAAATGGACCTTATTGAAAAGGAAAAAGAAAAAAGAAAAAGAATCCTTGCGTGATAAATGGGAAGCAAGGTTGTATAGACACACACTGGCATTGACGCCTTTTCGAAAAAAAATAATAATGATGATCTTTCCTCTCAAGTCCTGCATGGTTGGACTAGTATATTATCTCTAACAAACAAAGCTGAAATGCTATTTTAAAGTTTCTTTCAATAATTATAGAGTAAACTCTGCAGGTCTGGGTACTATTCAGCAGCGTCGGGGTTTAAAAACTGAGAAACCTGTTCTTCTTGCAGGTCCCGGAAAGGTAAGTTATGATCTTTGTTGGGTATAGGACTAAGTTGCTAGTTTAACTTCATTGTATTGATCAAGCCTTTCTTAAAGATAACCAAAAGTTTCTTTGCTTTACTTGATTTAAATCCCATGTGAAAAGAGTTTAGCTTTGTCTTAGAGAATTTAGCTAGAACTGCATTAAATTTCAGCGCATGTAAAAACACTGGTGATTTCATCCCATCCATAGGAACCTTGGTGGTTAACGGGTTCTTGTTTTGGTCTAAGGTAACAGATACGTTCTGGAACTAATTGAGATGCGCACAAACTGGTCTTTCTATCATGAACATTTGTAGTTTTCCGAGCTAGAACTTTTTTAAGTATGAATAACCTTCCACATTGTTCTGATTTTCTGTTGGTTGAAATAACTGTCCATCATATCACCTCAAAATAGTTACGATGATCAGTTGAATATGTTTCATTTCCCTAAAGAGATGAGATGCATTAATCGCGACTTTTTTATTTAAGATAATTGTAACAAGTTATTGCAAACTTGCTTTTACATGATAGTGTTACTTTGTGTCTCTGTGTAGGTTGGTCAAGCATTAGGACTATCAACAGAATGGTCTAGCCATGCTCTATATACTGCTGGTAAGCATTTTGATGTTCCATCTTACAACGTTTAGCAACTAGTATATGAATCTCCCGCGTATTCTTATGCATATGACAGGCGGTTTAGAACTCTTAGATGGGCCAGAACCAGAACATATACTTGTTGGTCCAAGAGTTGGTATAGAGTATGCTTTGCCAGAACATGTTAATGCATTGTGGAGATTTGCAATCGCCGGTTCTTCATGGATCAGTGCCCCAAAAAAGACTCTCAGACCTCTTTAGCTCACCAATTGGCGCCATGAATCCGTCCCCTCCCCCCAACCGGCCGGGAGGGGGGGGGGGGGGGGGGGGGAAAAAATCCAGCTGGTGGCCAA